GCAGACTTAGTGCCTAAACCCTGACGACTATGCGGACTTAGTGCCTGTTGTATAAATCCTGGCGACTATGCAGACTAGTGCCTAAACCCCAGTGACGATGGGACTTCGTGCCGATTCCTTAGGATGATCCTTAGGAATGAATGAACGAGGATAGTTGATTCTTAGGGTAGATCCTTAAGAGTAAAGAAGATAATGGGGATGGGTAATTGGGTTGATTGTTTGATGTTTAAACATAATAATTAGATTAGTGTGGGTTGAAAAATCCTATGGTACTCACCAGGTTTCCCAACCTGACCCACTCCCAGCTTATTTCTATCACAGGTGTCGATATGAAGCTACTTTACACGAGAGATTTAAAAAACAGATGTAGATCACTAGTGTAAATGAATGTAAGTTCTGTTTATGCTTATGTTTCTGTATTGACGATACATCATCCCAAAGTTTTGAACATGAATAAAAATACATTCTCTCGTAAATGCTTTGATAACGTATTTATCATGCTTTTCTGGGAACAAATTTCGCAAATTTTTTTATTAAAGAGGTACTGACTCTGATTTTTATAAAGCATAAACAAAAATCGGTCTTTTCTGGCCGTGAAAATGGGGATGTCACAGATACACTGATGAGTTTTGAGCAAAAACAATCATGATGGTGCACATGCAAACCCTAAAGCTTTGGATCTAGGTTTTTCTAATTGTACATGAATAATCATCCAAAGCTTGTAAACCTAATCTATCATATAGAAATCGAAATCAACATAATGAAACAGGTAAGAATGTTACCTTTCAATTGTAGCTTGAAGATCCTTGCCTTTGAGAGCTTAGTATCACAAGTGTAATACCTCTAATCGAACACAAACAACCAAAAGCAATTGGAGAATGTTAGAGAGAGGAGGAGGAGGCTCAAAATCGGTTGGTGATCCTTCTAGGGTTTCAAGTGGTCGATTTGGGGATGCTATGGGGTTCACTTATATAACTGAAGAAATTAGGGTTTCAGTCAAATACCTAATCTGGTTGCTTAAGCCCTAAGCAGCCCATAGATCTTCCAGAATCCTTATCATAGAAAGAAATCTAGTGGGCTTCCACAAGGATTGTCGTCCACCCCTATACTTAGGGTTCCTCAGCCCATATTGCAATTATCTTATAATACAATATCAGTCCCCTAATTCAATTAACGCTTATGACCACAAAATTAATTCTAAATTAATTCTTGACCAATAGTAATTAAATAAATAGGATTTATCTTTTAATATATTATTCACATAATATATTAATAAATCACATTTATCCTCTTTCTCCATTATTCATCCAGTCAAGTTGCTTTGGTGAAGGCAACCCAAAAGGATCATGTTTACTATTGGTCAAGTACATACCAATGATAGTTATGGGCTTAGACACATAATCCAACAAAAATCTCACCATTAGTCCATGAATTAACAAATGGGTCACAGATTTGAAAGAACATAGCAATCCAATCACAAAATCAAGCTCGTATCATTGCTTGGAATTAGTAATTTGAATCAATGGACCCTAGAATTAAAAATATCCAAATTACCATCATTAGACTAGAATTTGATTTCAACATCATGGATTCTCACCATAAGCCAAAGGGTGGCAAATGGATATTAATTAAAGGGAAATGTACCATCTAACCATAAGATCAAGCTCATCTCATTGCATTGAAGCATCAAATTCGGATTTGAAGATCTAGGTGTTTGAAAACCCCACCAAATCACATCCAAACTTTCAAATCTCCCAACTATTACTTAGTTGAAGCTTAAAATTGGATCAAGGAAGGAATCACATCAATTATTCACAATAACAACCCAATTTAAGCATCAATTTTAGGATTCACCACACCATTGATGGTCAATGAAAATCTTCAAAACAACTCCAATCTAACAAATCTAAACAACCATTTGTTGGTTGGAGATTGGAGATGGATTAAGGAAAGGAACTACGACATAAATCTCATATAAAAACATTACCAATAGAGCATGAACTTCGGATTTTGAATCCAACAAAATCCTAAATCAAATTTGGGATAAAGAGGAAAAAGAACTACCTTTGATGCAATATCTTGGAAGGATTTTAGTAGAGATTCATCAAGCAATTCCAATTACCAAAACGCCATGAATCTAGAAGGAAAAATTAATCATGAAGGTGGAAGAGGGGTTGGGATCGACTGGAGAATAAAGTGGGTGAAATGAATGAGAAAAAGGAGGCTGAAACGCGTTTTTATTTTGTTCAGCAACCGAAACCCCGGCGCAGTCTCCCAATTGTTGTTGCGCGGCCACAAGTTTGGCCAGATTGTCAACTTCGGTCCCTCTTCCAAATATATTTTCAAAAATGGTCCCTAGACTCACCTAATGCTCAAATTAGCCCACAAATGGTCCTTCCCTATCTTAACTTGTATAAAATCGATCCTAGATTGGTCAAACCCTAAGGTCAAATACAAGTTTCCCCAACTTGACACTTTTAGTCCCTAAACTTTAAAAGTTTTCTTTTGACATCCAAACTCTATCATAATTTATTTATGACTTAGCAATAATGTTTATTATTGTTATTATCAAAATCATTTACCTTCATTTATTTATTTATTTCCTCTCAATTTATTTTATTTAAAATTAAGGAAACTTTTTATTTTTTTAGCAAAATGCCCAAAACTTCTAACCCCAAAACAGGATGTTACATTCTCTTTATCTCTTTCTGTTTTTGGGTGGTTGTTGGCGGTAGGTTTCCGATGGCGGTAATGGGTTTCCTTCGACTGTGATGGTTGCATCAGTCGAGGTGATTGTGATTTTGGATAACTTAATTTACTCGTATGTATATTTGGCTTTGATGTAAATAAATGTATAAAACGTATTAATTAAATTCAAAATTTTATAATATTTAAAGAAAAAAAATTAGTACACATTTTAAAATGATTTCAGTTGTCAATGTTACAATGTCTAATATTTGTCAATGTTACAATGTCTAATATTTGTCTATTAGAAATAGAATATTTTTTTAACATAAAATAATTGACTTAAAGTGTTTAAGGAATGTTTATTTAGTAGCACACTTGATTTTTTTCTTTGTTGAAAAAACAAACAAATAAAATGAGTGCACTTTAGCATACGATCGAGTGGGGTTGGTACTTACGTTTTTTTTATTTTTATTGTCACAATCAAAACTCATGTTGTTTTTTTTTTTATTTGCTTTTTATTTCGAAAATAGTCATATCTCACTCCTCTTTATTTTTTTTAAATAAAATTATAAAACTATAATTTAAGAATGTATTAAATTTAATTTTAATTTTTAAACAATATAAAAATACAAAAGAAATACATCATCACGTCATGCAAGGTGTGAACCAATGTGTCATTCTTTGTTTATCAAAGGAGATCATAGCAAATGCTTCCTTTACTCTTGCATGTGTTTCATGGTTATTTTTAAACAACTTCATTTACTTGTACTCATGCAATGCAATGTAGACCTTACTGACTTTTGACGTGTGTATATCATTGTGGAAAGAGTGAGAGGTGTGTGAGTCAATGCAAGACTTTGATTCATCACTGGTCACCACAGTCAATGAACTCGATAGTGTGGTGTTACCACACCCACCGCAACGCCATTTTGGCATAACCACATGGTGTGTTGTTGGTACACCCACCAACTGAACTAAGGTTGTATTTAACACGTTGCAACAATTTGTTTTCTATGTTTTTTAAAGTTTTGGTTTCTGACAAGTACAAATGTAACTTATAAACTAGTTTTTTTCAAAAAAGAAACATTCATATTAGTGTTTCAACAAGTTTATGAACTTTTTAAAATTTTCTAAATTATACAATTTATTAGTTATAACATACTCATTCCTCGTGTTCTTTCATCAAGCTTAATAGCTTATCGTTCTCTCTTATTAAAAGACTATGTCCTCAATATACAACAATACAAATGATGTCTAAACAACTACATCTTGAAATTCTGTACGACAAATGATTTTCAAAATTCTTCAACATATGATTATATAACTACATAAGATGAATTAGATGATGATTTAATATTTAGTCATGATAAAATTCGATATTCATGCCATTAGATGGGAAAAATTCATGATAATATCGTGAATATGATATCGGACGTAAGGAATTTCACTAAAGCACAAATAATTGAAAAATTGTTATTTAAGTACCTACCTTACTTTTAATGAAATGTATTACATATTATCTCTTATAATATTTAATAATTTTTATATATGCATTTTATGTCATTTAACACTTATTAGTTAATTTATCAACTAGTTTTTCTCAAATATCATTTTCACAGGTAAAGCTAGTTTTTCAGCTACTCTGTCAAACATAAGCTAAAATAAAATGGTTGGTTACGATGTTCAGAAGTCATTATAATGTCACATGATATGGGTATGTTCGGCAACAGACTTTTGAAAGTTTTTAGAAGCTTTTAGTTTTTCATAAAAAATAGTCGAATTAAAGAAATAAAATGTCTAGAGGGCTTAAAGGTTTTAGTTTAAACAAAATGTTCAAACCCAAATGCAATTTAAAGTAGCTTTTAGAAGTTTTTAGCTTATATTTTTATGTTATTTTACATCTTTCAAAAGCTTACATGTATATTCATGTAACACCTTCTCCACAAATAAAAGTTACATTGTCTATTTACCAGCTTCTAGCTAGTTTAGCCAAACTTGCCCTATAAAATTAAAAATTGTCATTTGAAAATTAAATTTACCAACTTATAACAGAAGGTAAAACCCATCTATTTTTTAACCTAGTATCATTTATACAAAATGAAGCCAACACATCATATTTAAATAGTAATATAACCATGATATCCTTTAACTCAATTTTAAATCTTAAGAGTAATTACATTTTTGGTCATCCTGTATAGCATTTTTTTCGATTTTCGTTGAAAATTTGTGTTACAATAACCCATTTTTTATAACAAAGTGATTTAGTAGATTGTAAGCTAACAAACACACTTTAGATACGATAAATAATTCAAGTGCATTGCAAAATTATCTTCAAACCGAAGCATCAAAAACGGATCAAGGGCACAAGGGTAATTTCACAAACTATTGATGTGGTGTGTGTGTGTGTGTGTGTGGTGTGTTGTTTATGTAAATAGATCCTGAAGATCAAGAATGTCAGCAAGAACACCAGCTGCTGTTGTATCATTGCCTGCTCCCGCACCTTGAATCACCAATGGCTGTTCCTTGTAGCTCGATTATAAATCTCCACCTACACAACACTTATTATATTTTTTTTACTTAATTGACTTAATAGGAACAAAACATGACTTAATATGTTACATGTTTCTTATTGACTTAATTCAGAAAGAGCGACTTAATAGAAAAAGTCAGAAAACCAACCACATTGTCACTTCCTCTCAATCTTCCCAAAGCCGATTCTTTTGGTAGTTCTTCAATTCCAACATTGCACCTATTTCACATTCAAATACAACTTACTCCCTCATTCATCAGTGTACACTGTCTGTCTGACAGTGTACACTGACATGACATGACAGTGTTTGGCATGCATTGGACTAATTAGGAGAAATGTCAATAGGACAAAAATTGAAATTTTTGTCCCACTCAAGAAAGTGGAACAAGGATTGGCTCTCGATTTCGTGTTTGTGTGCAAAGACGTAAATGCCCTCCTCATAGATAGATAAATACCTTGAGTTCTCAATGACACAAACATAGCGCAAAACATTCCCATTTGAAGAAGCTTTCTTGATTCTTTCTTCAATATCATTATCCAACAATTGTAGGCCATTTGCTAAAAAGTCTTTGAGAGACATTGTGTTTGGCCTCATTTTATCAGGTATAAACTTTCAATCTTAAAAAAGATGTAAAAAATATGTAAAATGTCACATATGAAGAACATTAATAACTCCAAGAAACATGAATGTAAGTTTATGCCTTATGCAAGCAAGCACCTACCTTCATGTTATTCATGTCCATACGGTGCCCAAGAAGTCTTGCAAGGATCAAACCCGTTTCAAATATTAAAAAAAAAAAGGGTATTTTGGTCATATAGCATAATTTACATTCCAATTCTTTTAACAAGATTACAAACCAAACAATCATATAGCAAAGGAATGGAATCGAACTCCATCCGTTTCTTGCCAACTAATATCAAGATGGACCTATTACACAAGGTATTCTGGTCATTTAACATAACTTACATTCCACTTCCTATGAAAGATTTACAAACCAAACTATTAATAAAAAAGAATTGGAATTGAATCCAATTCCATATTCCTTTCTAGCCGACTAAGATGGACCTACTTACACAAAGGGTATTTTGGTCATTTAACACTAATATTACAAAAAATTAAGTGGAGATAGAGATGAGAATAAAATATAAACCTTTCTTGCAACGTCCATGCCACTGAGATCATCACGAGGATCTAAGAGTAAAAAGTTTACCATAAGTTCTTTTTTTTTTTTTGTTAATGTTTTTTTCATAATAGAAAATGAAAAGAAAATATATTAATAAATTTGACCTGGTTCAGTATAGCCAAGGGCTTGAGCAGCTTTAACAACTTCACTAAATGGCTTTCCATCTTCTACCTCACTCATTAACATACCCCAAAGTACTATTTTTAAGGGATTAAATATATGTAAAAATCATGCTTGTAAATGAATGTAATTTATTGACATTTTAAATTTTTTATTACCACTCAAGCTTCCGATTATGCGATAAATGGTGTCTCCTATGAAAGTATACTATTTAATGAAGCTATAATAGGGAGTCCAGCACCAACCTGAAATTGTGTGCTATAATAATTTATCCCATAAATAAACACTAAAATAATAAAATATGAAATACAATTACTTACTGTTGATTCATGTCTAATGCAACGTGGTTGTAAGAATAAGTTATCAAATTTCTCCTGTAAAAAACCAAAGATGAATATTTATATAAATGCAATCCATAAAGTTGGAAATTAATCTAAGGGAAATTGCAGGAAATTCTCTGCAATTGCCCTTATTTGATCCATTGAAGAAGTAAGAGGCTTCTTATTGGCTAACACAAACACACATCCTAAATTTACTGCTTGGGTAATAGTTCCAATGGTTTCTGAACTTGCAGAGCAATCAACAGGGTAAAAAGCTATGGAAATTCAAAGAAAGAACAGTAAAAATATGAATCTATAAATTTGTAGTGAAAAGTGTGTAGTGATCAATTTACATTTACCTAAACGAGCAGCAATGTCTGTGAGTTTTTTTTGTGGATTCGGGAGATGAAAGGCTTCAATTTACCTAAAGAATTAAAAATAGAAGAAGAGAAGAAGAGGAGAAAGCTGTTCAGTGACTATTAGTCTATAAGTAATATGAAAGAATGGAATATGAAATGAAAGTACTACATAACTCAGATGCTGTGAAAATATCAATGAAATTACCAGATTCAACACATGTTTGAAGGGACAGCCGTTGATTTGATCTGGCAAATGTTCATCAAAAAGGTATCATTGAACTCCATAGATGAGACATCTGGTACAACAAGAAATGATTTGCTATCGAATATACCCACAACTCGCAAGTGAATTCCCTGAAAAATGCAAATGATATTCTCAGGTATCTTATTTCTTAGAGCCTAGGATTGAAGAACAAATATGGTCCTAATTCATCTGCATTTTCAGAATTTCCTGTATCATAAGAACCCAAATCAACTACAATTCTCTATTATATGCAAATCCAACTCGAAACTTAACGCAGGTAATCGTACAAGACGTATACCAATCGAACGAAACATTATCGATGAAGCTGAAGTTGTGGAGAAAATTATTTCAGTGTGTGTACCTTGTTTGCGTGTAGGGTTCGACAGGAGACGATGTGGGGAGGAGTTGGTCTCCCAACGCCTCCGCAGCCCATAAGAATGATCGGAATATTCTTCATTTTCTCCTCGATTTCACAGTAGCCCTGAGCGTCGGACTGTAGGTTTTTGCTGCTTATGAGTTATTGTGTATAGTTCTGTTTTCAATGGGAGTATCTTTGTATTTGTGGAGTTTCCTTTCATTCGGTTTTTTTTTTTTTTTTTTCTCACCAGTTGTGATGGGTTAATTTATTAATAATAATAATAATAAAAAAAGTTAAAATATTTTAAACTTTAAATTTATAAGAAATAAAAAATATGAATTAATCAAATTGAAATTTTTTGATCTTTTAAATTTAAATACATAAAATAAACTAATGACTTTAATTTTGAAAATTTTGAAATTAAAAAGTAAGTTTATTAATAAAATTAATCCATTTATTACTATATTTATTGCAATTGTTACATTAATATTATATGAAATTTAATAAAATAGAAAACTCATAAAAAACATGTGGAAAAAAAATTAATTCAAAATAACCATAAAATGATATTTGGCAAATTGAATAAGAGTGTGACAACTGACAAAAAAATCTTCATTTATTAGAGAGGATTCAAACTTTGAAGTGTATTTTCTCATCGGGAAAATGACTTATAAGGGTAAGAAAGTTTCAAAAACGTTAAAAAAAACCATTGAGGTTTTAGCTGTTCAAAAAATACCATTCAACCATAGGCATCGTACAAAAAATCCAACGAAGTTTATCTTTTATTCAAATCTGACCCAGTGGTAACCGGATCTTTCAGGTGAACGGCTGGTTGGCGAAAGTAATGCTTAGTTGGCATATTTAGGTAGTGTGTTTGTCACATCTACTCAACATTAATGAAAAATACATATTATATGTAACGCCCTGTTCTGAATTGACTCTTAGTCTGAGGCTATGGCCAGAAGGCCGGTCATCATAAGGATTATGGCTTTTGAAAAAGGGTAAGATCTAGGTTATTTTGGGTGCGAGAGATGTATTAGAAGCGATCCGGATGTTCGGTTTGTGTTTTGGAGCCTAGGGGTATTTCAGTAAAGTGCCAGTTTGGGCTTTTGTGGAAATGGACTTTTGTTCGGAAGGTCTTTAAGAAGATATTAGTTGATAGAAGGTAGGGCTTCGGCTTCTCGTTACCTTTTCGTGGATAAGGATCGTCGAAAACGGATTTATAACGAAGAGTTATGGCCTTCGAATTTAGTGGTTTCAAGCTTAGCCGAGTACGTTGGGCGACACAAAGAGTACGCTGGGCGTACTAGTACAAAAGGCAGTACGTGTGCGTACTTTGGAGTACGTTGGGCGTACTGACCAGGATGGTCGCGGATGTTCTTCGGAGTACGTTGGGCGTACGCCAATCAGACCTGAACCCTATTTTAGGGTCTTGGACCCTATTTAAGCTCCTTATCTCATAAGTCATAACCTAACCCTAATATCTTCAGCCTCCGCCCTCTAAACCCTAGAAATCAACCCTTAGCCCTCATTTGAGTGATTTTGGAGCTTGGATGGCCATTAGAGGGAGTATTTTGGTGTTTTGAAGAAGAAGGTGTTTAGAGAAAAGCAAGATATTGAAGAGAGCTTGTAGACCAGAGGTTTTACACATCATTTCTAGCCTATTGAAGGTATAAAGTTTTCATCTTGGTGTTTCTACATCATAGATCTAGGTTCTCATGGATATTGACCCTTTTTGGTTTCAAGAATGGATTTTTATGGTGCAAATTCGTTTCTGGACTTAGGGTTGCACCCCATGAAGCTATTGAGGGTCCCTTGAGCAGTAAAGTTGCAATCTTTAAGGCCCATTTGCATCCATGCAAGAGATCTAGCCATTTCCATGAAGATAGTTGCTATTTTTTACAAGTTTGATCTCATTTGTGGGGTGCAAGCCACTAGTGATCAACTTTATGGGTTAAGAAGGATTATTATACTCGAATTTGTAGTTGGAAGTTGTCTCTTAAGGGATTAGCAGTTTTGAAGAAATGGCTTATCAGGGGAGTACGTTGGTGTACACGCCAGTACGCGCAGCGTACAAGCCATGCAAGTTGTACGCGTAGCGGACAGAAGAGTACGCTCAGCTACGCTCAGTCAGTGGACTTTTGTTATTTGGGCCTTGGTTTGGGCCAAGTTTTGGACATAGTGGTAATGGTTGTAAGGGGCCTTTAGAGCCAGTTAGGGCCCAGGGATTAGTGGGCTTGGAGGAAAGCCCATTTGAAAAGTGGGCCAATTCAAAAATTGGGCCATTTGGGACTTAATGGTCTTAGTGAGACTAAAAGGATTGGGGCCTAGTCATGGTCCCAAAATAGATCAGGGTAAAACCGTAAAATGGTTCATTTTACCCATGGAGAGTTTTAGTTTTTTGACTATGTTGTGTTTGGTCATATAGTCGGGGAGTAGTTGGAGCAGCAAGACGTGTCAACCCTTTGCACAGGTTTTCAGGCAGTCAGTTGAGAGGTGAATTTTCCTCCATAGGAACGGGTTCTAAGGAAACCAATGTCGGCCCGTTTAAGTAGTAGATATGCCGGTGGTGAGACCGATGGTCGGGGTTAGCCCGAGCATTATAAGGTTTTCCAGACTAACTTCGGTCGAGTCGGGACGGTCCCGAGAAGTAGTGCTTGTGTTGGATTAGTGTCTAAGCCCATAACTATTTTGGTATGTACTTGACCCGATTGCGAGCATGGTCCTTTTGGGTTGCCTTCACCAAAGCAACTTGATAGGATGATTTGTAGAGAAAGAGATTAATTATGATTTATTAATATATTATATGAATAATATATTAAAAGAGAAATCATATTGTTTAATTAATATTAGTCAAGAATTAATAGTAATTAATTTTGTGGCTAAAAGACATTAATTAAATAAAGGGGACTAGAACTGTCAATTGTGTGATAGTTGAATATTGGGCTAATGGACTCCATAGAGGATGGAGTGGACGAAATCTATGGGGAAACCCATTAGAATTCGTCCAAGGCCTCTAAAGGAGGAGTCCATGGGTTGCTTAGGGCCTAAGCAGTCAAATTAGGGTTTCCTTGTTAGATAACCCTAATAGCCTCACTATTTAAGGACCCCTAGGGCACCAAAAACGTGGCTTAAGAGTTTCCTTAGGGTTTCTAGACGTTTTTGAGTGCCTCTCCTCTTCTCCTTCTTCATCCTCTTGCTCTTGGTGTTTGTGAGCCATTAGAGGAGTGACATTTGTGACTCTAAGCTTTTAGAAGCCAATTACAAGAAGGAATAGATTGTTATTGCTACATAACAATCAAGGTAAGATCTAAACCCTAATTCATATGTTATTTGATTATCACATGCTAGATCTAGGGTTTATGGCTTTGGATGATTATTGCATGTTCATTAGACAAACTAGATCCAAAGCTTTAGGGTTTGCATGTACACCATAGGAATGTGTAGTGCTCAAACCCATCAGTGGTATCAGAGCCTTAGGCTGTTTGTTGATGAATTGATGCATATTTGATCGTTTATTGCTTGAAAAATCGATTTTTTTGGGTTCTGACTGGTAGACTCGGCTAGTCCATTCATGGACTCGACGAGTAGGTCCTACTCGACGAGTTCCATTGTGGACTCGATGAGTCCAGGGCTCTGGTGCCGGGATTTTCGAATTTTCTGCTAGATTTTGTTGAGGATAATTGCCAAAACTCGTTTTTCTTGCCAAAATCCAAATTTTTAAGTTTGGAATGATTATCCTCATCAAAATTGATGGATTTGGTTAAATATGGATAATATAGGATTATTATTAGTCAAATATTTGACCTAGTAAGTTTGAAAAGTTTCAATTTACACCCCTTAGGTTTTATAGTTTAAATTTGAACTTTAAAAGTTTTAGTTTTGAAATTTAAATAGTTAAACCCTAATATTTTGAAAGGTTTCAAAATTTGTCCTCAAGTTTTGGAATTAAATTTTTTTTTATTAAAAGTTTAATTTTTGAAATTTTAAATTCTAAAACCCTAGTTTTTGAAAAGTTCAAATTACACCCTTATGGTTTTATTAAGTTAATTAAAGGTATAATTAAAGAGAGTTAATAAATCCATGGTCACATGGTTTATGTTTAATTAAATTAAAAGGTATAATTTATTAAATTAACCCACCTAGTATTTTAAAAGTGTAAAATACACCCTATACTATATATAACATTAAAAGTCTAATATTATATATATGTATAACTTAAACTGCTAGTCTTACCGTTAGTAGGCCTCATTCACGAAGCCGATCTATAAGGGGGGTATAAGGTTATGGCCTATAAAATGGCCGTTTAATGGGTGTCCACTCTCACCCACCGCTTCCTTGATTGGTGGAGGGTCGTTAGCCGAACGGGTAGGATGAGGCAAACTCTCTCCTCATTAAAAGTATAATGAATATTAAAGTACCTAAATGTTTTACTAAATTCTCAAATCTTAGTTACTTTAGGAAAAAGTGAAATCGATGCAATTCCATGGAATTACACTTTGTACCCTTGTCGAGACAATTAGTGGAGCGTGTGTGGTTAACCGGCACACTAAGTTGGGTTTGGCATTGGTAGCGAAGGGTGACTCGATGTTTGTCATAGATCGATGGAGCGTGTGTGGTTAACCGGCACGTCGATTAGGTGACTGTAACATTGAGGGCACCACGTACATTCGCATGGTTATTCACACCTTATTTGTGATCCTCGGCATCCCAGTCACAAATGAAGGGCATAATCGAGATTAAACATGACGTTGAAAAGTTCAATGAATTTCAAAAGATCTAGGAGTTTCAATTCATTTAAAACTTAACTTTTCTTTTCGTTTTTCATGGTGGAAATTGGTAAATCGTCATTTACCTACCTTCAAATGTTCTGCGAGTTGGATTACGGCATCCCTCTTCCAATTTGTAGGATATTGTGTTGGGTCCTAGCCTTAATATCTCATTTGGGTGTTTTATTAAGGACTCAATCAACTAACTTGAATTTTCTCCCGTTTTATAGATGTCAAAGTCTGACAACTATGGTCTTCCTAAATCCGTTGGAAAAAGTTTTCCACATGAAGATGATGTTCCACGATTCGATTGTGAAATCATGCTTCTCTTCCTCCACCTCCTCCAATAATTCTCCTTGACCCACGTGTTCGAAGACTTGAAAAGTTCAAGGTCACTCAAGCCCTATTGGCA